ATATTAAGCAAGAAGTAGTTTTGACCGCCATGTTGGAGGGCAAAGGCATGCCCTCCAACATGGCGGCCAATACAAATCATACTACTTTGCTGAAAAATCAAAGTGTCATAAAATATCTCCCATAAATGCGTTTCCTCTCAAATTTCGGGTGTAAGATAATTTTTGTGTGCTCTAACAATTTTTGGCATCAGCAAGATTCTAACTCATTGTTTAAAGGAAGCATTGGTTACGTGACCTCTTAGTGCAAGTGGCCTATTCTTACAGATAAAATGAGTCTTTCAGTCCTTTTTGGTCCTTTTACAGACCGAAATGACCCTTCGAGTACTGACTTCAAATCTTTTCTTATGCCTGAAGCCTGAATAAGTTACCCCCCGAAGCCTCCTCCCCGTATAGGCCATTATAGCCGGAGTACTCCCCCTCCCCTCCACCGGGTTGCTAGGTAGTTTTTAGCCTCTCATTTCCTAAACTAAGGAATCATTAACTTGAATCTGACGTTTGCAGTGTTCTTGCATGTGATTTTATATTGACTGCATGATCCACCGTTACAATGACATTTACAATGCCTTATTGGAGTCTTATACAGTCCTATGTACATCGACTTTATCCAAATAATTTAAAATCATAACACAAATTGCACACTAGTGGAACTATAATCAATGTTAACCTAAAGAACTAATGATCTTCTTTTCTCATAGCAGTCGAATACGTATTTTGCAATTAAATTTTGCACTGGTTTGTTCTTGCTCGAAGGGTCCATTAACAACAGAAAAACATCATCTGGTGCCATTCCGTTTACTGATATTCTGTATTATTTGTTTAAAACGGGATGCTAAAAAACAACAACTCGGGTGCGGGGAGTGGGGTACTACCTAGTACTTATAATGGCCAATACGGGGAGTCAATACTCCCATCCCCTTCTATGGCGTTTTCCTCTTTTTAGTATCGGCTATTTATCTCACTTCTTTTTCTTTATCAGTTTATACGTACAGTGGAACTTCCATGCCATCTTTTTGGCACCTCCCCAGGCGTTGCCCTTCAAAATAGAGACTTGAATAACAAGCAAATGGGTCGCGTGGGGCCTCAAGCTACTGTATCCGAGCTTTCGCTCATCCGCGACATCATCAGGGATTCCCTGATGGAACTGTTATTGCAGCACATGGATAGTCAAATTGGATGCAGGAGCGTAGCGTCCATAAACGCACATACGCCCGTGCGTACAGCTGAAATCTGGACAAAATGTACCTTCCATTTCCTGAAAGCATTTCTATCGTTAAATCGCAATGACTGACAACTTTTACGGATTATATCGGTGTCTTTGCCCTTCTGACGGGAAGGGTAGACGTCTCGCCCTTGCAGCCTTACCAACTCAACTGGTAACACAATTGATGGTAGCATATTGAACAACTAACAACTGTATTTTCGTTCGTACTTATTTAATAAAACCGTGCAATTCCGAGATCTTAAAATTATATTTGAACATTTCCTGGGGGAACATGCAGCACCCTTATAATTTCTTCTCGTGCGTACACCGTCAAAATCTCACGTTACGCCCCTGGGATGGCAATACAATTGACCCATTTTTGTTCGTGTCTTCTAATTCGGAGCAAGAAGACGCGAAGCAAGAATAATATCTTTTATCTAGATATCAACAAATCAAGTTTTAAAGAGGCACTGTTTTATGAACAAATTTTAGCCTAATTGGCCTATCCCAAAACTAGTTTTGTCTACCCCAGCTCCTATAAATTTTGGCCATTTTTAGACAGCGACCTACCAGGCCTCCCAAGGGAGTTTAGGGAGAAAAGACCTCAAAGGCCTCTCTCGTCTGATGCTCAGGCAATACATTTTATGCCGCCTTTCTTACAACTGTCAACACAAAAAAGCTTGCTTTTTTATTATTTTCTTTTGGAAAAAAAGGGAAAGAAAAAAAGCCGAGCTTTCCTTCATTCTGACTTCCTCACCATTACGTGAAGTCAAAGCAATACGTTAAGAAAACTTGTCGAGGTTGCCCGTGGGGTGAAATACCATTAAATAGCCATTCTTATTTCACTACTGTTTACGATATCCAAGGTCCCGTCCCGTCCCGGTAACTTTTCGGGCACAAAAACAAAAATTAAAATTCAGATCTAACGAATAAAAACGCGGGTCCAAGCCAACAAACCACTGCATTTTGTTTTGTTAACTGTCAGTTTTATCATGTTATCTGCAAAAGCGCTAGCCCGGTGATTATCTCGACTTTCGAGAAACGGGCCCCTGATTTCAAAATCAGCATAACGGGGTATTCGCTTTACTTAACCCGAAAGCTGCAGTGTATGTGTTTATCATCTCAAATAGAGCTCACTTAAGCTACGATTTCCTGCTCCTGCAGAGGAACGCAGTCAGCATCACGTCGAGACCCATTACGTCGTGACTTGATGCACTTAATATATCCTACAATTCCAATTAATACACAGGCGGTAGCTGTTCCGAGACAAATCCCCACGATCTTCAAAATGGCCAACGGAGCCCCTAAAAAGCCAACAAAATGACGTTAATTTACCGTAAAATTCCGAAAATAAGCCCCTCCATGTATAAGCCCTTCCAAATATAAGCCCCTCAAACTCGTAACGCAAAAAACCCTCCATTAAATCGCCCCCTCCGAATATAAGCCCCTGGGGGCTTGTACTTGGAAAGTGCCCTTAAATACAAAATAAAACAAGGCAAAAACGGTACAGTAACATATAAATTTTTGTATTTGCCAAAGAATTATTTCGTGTCTGCCAAGTGTTTGTAGTCAGAAAGTGTCACAGTTAATCGCTGTTTGCGTGGTTCCTCTTCACTCTTGGCCTTGATTTCCTCGGTCCATATGGACAAAGTACTTGTATGGCCACGTTTTAAAAAGGTCTACGTCCTCAAGGCGAGTTTCAGAAAAAACTTTCTGCAAATTACTGACATAAATTTCCTTTCAACTATAAGCTAGCCCAATCGATTTTGAGACGCAAATTTCCCTCCAAGTATAAGCCAAGCCGATTTTGAAACGCAAACTTCCCTCCGTTTATAAGCCCCTCCGAATATAAGCCCCTCCAAAAATAAGTCGCTCAAAAAGAGCCTTTGAAAAATATAAGCCCCGGGGCTTATTTTCGGAATTTTACGGTATTTTGAATACAACTTACTAAGGCATACCAAAAAGGAGTCGATGCCGTTTTGTATATTACGAAATATGAGCTTTTCTCTTATAACTCCTTATTTCTATAAATCTTAACAAGAGAGAAAGAGGGAAGAGGGCGAGTCTCTGTGTCCTAAGATAATTCTTTGAAACCTATTAAAAGTTCGCGCGCCTGCTGCGAAGATTATTTTTGTCTGCGATTCCGTGACCACTCGGTCTACCTACACGTGAACGTGACAAACATTTGAAGTTTGACAGCCGTTATATCAAACTGTCACTCCAACAGCCTGGGACCAGGTTCCGTAGTGAGGAGAAAAGGCAAAAAAACGGGGTGAAACAGCAAAAATCGGCGAGCGAAGTTAGCCGAGTGGAGGCCTGGGGAGGGTGAAAGGGCGGCGCCACCCTTCCACCACCCCAGACTACCGCTTGGCTCGGTTGGTTCGCCGATTTCTTTGTCGCCCTCGCCGATTTTTGTTTCGCTTTTGCTCNCGAGACAAATCCCCACGATCTTCAAAATGGCCAACGGAGCCCCTAAAAAGCCAACAAAATGACGTTAATTTACCGTAAAATTCCGAAAATAAGCCCCTCCATGTATAAGCCCTTCCAAATATAAGCCCCTCAAACTCGTAACGCAAAAAACCCTCCATTAAATCGCCCCCTCCGAATATAAGCCCCTGGGGGCTTGTACTTGGAAAGTGCCCTTAAATACAAAATAAAACAAGGCAAAAACGGTACAGTAACATATAAATTTTTGTATTTGCCAAAGAATTATTTCGTGTCTGCCAAGTGTTTGTAGTCAGAAAGTGTCACAGTTAATCGCTGTTTGCGTGGTTCCTCTTCACTCTTGGCCTTGATTTCCTCGGTCCATATGGACAAAGTACTTGTATGGCCACGTTTTAAAAAGGTCTACGTCCTCAAGGCGAGTTTCAGAAAAAACTTTCTGCAAATTACTGACATAAATTTCCTTTCAACTATAAGCTAGCCCAATCGATTTTGAGACGCAAATTTCCCTCCAAGTATAAGCCAAGCCGATTTTGAAACGCAAACTTCCCTCCGTTTATAAGCCCCTCCGAATATAAGCCCCTCCAAAAATAAGTCGCTCAAAAAGAGCCTTTGAAAAATATAAGCCCCGGGGCTTATTTTCGGAATTTTACGGTATTTTGAATACAACTTACTAAGGCATACCAAAAAGGAGTCGATGCCGTTTTGTATATTACGAAATATGAGCTTTTCTCTTATAACTCCTTATTTCTATAAATCTTAACAAGAGAGAAAGAGGGAAGAGGGCGAGTCTCTGTGTCCTAAGATAATTCTTTGAAACCTATTAAAAGTTCGCGCGCCTGCTGCGAAGATTATTTTTGTCTGCGATTCCGTGACCACTCGGTCTACCTACACGTGAACGTGACAAACATTTGAAGTTTGACAGCCGTTATATCAAACTGTCACTCCAACAGCCTGGGACCAGGTTCCGTAGTGAGGAGAAAAGGCAAAAAAACGGGGTGAAACAGCAAAAATCGGCGAGCGAAGTTAGCCGAGTGGAGGCCTGGGGAGGGTGAAAGGGCGGCGCCACCCTTCCACCACCCCAGACTACCGCTTGGCTCGGTTGGTTCGCCGATTTCTTTGTCGCCCTCGCCGATTTTTGTTTCGCTTTTGCTCCCACTGCGGAGCCTGGTCCCAGGCTAATCCAAAGATTTACGTTCTTGACATGTTGATCAACACTTTCCACTTACTATGTCTTAATGACTTCTTTCTCTCTTACAGACTTCTAGGAGAGTACTACCATAACACGGCGCTAATACGAAGCACGTGGGGCATGAATACAATCGGGGAATACTTTATATAAACAGTACTTACATTTAGTTTTATAGCTCGCTTTAAATCCGGGATATTTCGTCTGGCCACTAGAAGTGAACCATACTGACAGAGTTGAGCCTTTTGAAGTGAAAGACGAGGGAATCTTCGACCCGCAAAGTTTTGGCGAAAGATCAACTTCATCAGGGTCATTTGATATCTGCAGGAAATCCAGACAGTCTGGGCTTGCTTCTGATAGATTGAAGGCATCAAATGACAGTTCAATCTGCTTATTCCCACTCACGCGAATGATCCAAGAGCAACTGCCATAGTCGTCGTATGGCAGAGGGTAGTTATAGCTGGCCAAGGTTCCGGATTCAGAATTCAGTTCCATATGGCGGTTAATTGCTGTGCAGGAATAAGACGCTGGCACTAGAAATAAAATGGTCCAAAGTTAAAAAATGATTAGAACCTGCGCCTTAGACACAGTTAATTAAGTTATGATCATTGTGAGGGTAAAGCGGATCTTAAAGGGTTTCAATGGTTTTCAGCGGGACAGAGAGTGGTAATACTAGTTCCCTGCTAGCAGAGGTGTCTCATGGCAAGAGAGGAAGGAAGGGAAAGAGAGAGACCTCTACCGGCCTCCGATGTATTTTATATCGCGCATGCACTGGCGTTTCCTTAATAACCAGCAACTCTTTAGTCACTTGCGACACAACTTCGAAAACGGGTTTGCGCGATAACAACTGTGGACTCAGAACTTTTTAGCGTGTAGTTTTGAAACCAGTAAGTTTCGACCACAAATGTGGTTGGCAGCTACCTGCAAGAACGCACCGGGGGCTGGCAAGGGTTTGTCTAGCCTCCCCGCAGACGTCCTTTGGGGTTCGTTTGTCACGGATTCATTTCGGGGAGAAATGAATGCGTGACAAACGAACCCCATAGGACGTCCGCGGGGAAGCTAGGGTTTGTCCCTTTCCCATCATCTTTCTCTTACCGTGATAGACCTCTACTAGCAGGGAATAACACTAGTAAAGTCAAGTAACCTTATTTACGATAACACCATCTTTGAACGCGCTTTAAGATTGATGGGATATAAGCAATGTCAAATGATATTATCAGGGGGCAAACAAGTGATAAAATTTTTCAAATAGACCTCTTTCATAATGGCGGTTTATTGATATATTCTTTTATATGTATGATAATTAGCCTTTCTGACCTCGTTTGAAAGTACGAATTCTTTTGTATTTTTTCACATGCTAACGAGGTGAGAAAGGCTAATTATCATAAATACATAAAAGAATATATTAATAGACAGTCATTATGAAAGAGGTCTATACAAGTAATCGCCATCGAGTTAGTTTATTCTCTCAAACCACTTGACGATTTTAGTCATGCAAAATGTACAGTTCGAGTTTTGACAATTTTTACACGTCATTATTGCTTGCTTTGAGGACATCGAGTTCAGTTTGTTTAGTTTAGTCTAATGCAATCGCCACAGCTATTACACCGATGAACTTTTGTCCCAATTGCAATTACGGTCGCTACTCCATCCAAAAAAGTAACAATGTTCAGTCCCATCCATAATTTGCATTCTCGTTTTTCAGATGAAAAGTTGTCTATTTTCTGCCGACTAGAATAAACAAACTTGACCGTGATTTCTAGTTTATCACTTGTTGGCCTCCTGAGAAACTAAGTGACATCATTTTTATCCCATCAGTCCCAAACTGTGTGAAAAGATGGCGGAAATCGTGAATAAGGTCTATTGTACTTACATTGTGTGACCGCCTCAAACTATGCGCTGAACGTGAAGTAGTAAGTCCAATCCTGCTTCGGACTCTGAAACCAAACCCAAAGATGGCGACCACTAGAGAAGAAGGAGGACCCGTAAAACGGCTGCTCACAGATTGACCTCAACAAGCGGCTGGAGGAATTTTGACCGTCACGAATTTCGAAGGTGGAATGAGGGCTGCAATCTACGTCTAACTTGATAGAGGTTAATCGCAACTTCACAAAATTTCCTTTGGGGACTGTTATCATCCACGTACAGTTGATACTTCTGGGAGGGGTTGGTTTGGGATAACGAGGTGAGAATAGTCGTCCTCTTTTACCAGACATGGTAATGGTTCCTTTGCTATTGCAGGGCCCTACAGACGCTGTAAATTAAAGCAAGCAGTTGAAAAAGGCAATCAAAAGAAAGAAAAATTATACATTACTCCAAATACATGGACAAGGATGATAACTTCTTTGGCGAGGGTCAATTAAGTGTGGCATTCGCCATTCCGCTCGCTTTGCCCATAATAAACCTTGCTTGCTCTCAAACATTTAACAGTTAGTAAATATCATGATAAAAATTCTCCATCTTTCTCTAAATAACGATTTTTCTTCCGTTTAAACATGCTTAACAGCACACAAGAACGAAAACTACTTTGCCTGGCGCCGACAAGTCCTCACTTTCATTTCTAAAACACGTCTTTTAGTCAACGTAGATCAACAGCACAAATTATTTAACAGTGCAAATGACAATCTCATATACGCTACCGTACTTTGACCGGGGACATCCATCATTTATGAGCTAGAAGGCTTATTATATCTATAAACGTATCAAACGATGCGTTTGAAAAGGCGCCTACAAAAACATTACACCAACATATATAGTAGAACTAGCTATATTGTGTAAATTTTACGTAATTAATTATTCTCTGAAATTTTGTAGCTGTTGTGAACACCATAACTGTTTCTATTTGTTTGTAATCAGCTTTTGCTGTGTTTGGGTAGCGCAGTGAAATAAATTTGTTGATATTGTTGATTGAGAAACGAACTTCGCCACAAAGTATCGGCAATTCAGCTGCATGGACAAAAAAGAAAAGGTGCAAAACACCGCCCCAGACTCAAGCGCAACCTCAAAATGCACCATTAACCTTTTAAACCTTAATATCAAAATTTAAATTCTCAATTGTTTTCTCTATACGTTTCCCATAGAAGTAGTGGGGAGAAATTGTTAAGGTATCAGTATGCTGATTACTCTTATGGCTTTGTTATAAACCGTTAAGGCACTAAAAACCAGCTTTACTTACGGTCGGGCACTGCAGTGAAGCTCGCGTGGAATCCCCGATATCTTGCCAAGCTATTAGCTACAAAGTCAATGTAAACTTTGGGGTAGTTTGAGAGAAGAACTGGGGGCAGAGATGTTCCACAGTACCTTCCGATCACAGTGGACCAGGAAATGTCCATACCCTGTTTAATCTCCACATAGTCCGCTCGACATTTTGGAGAATATTCCAGAGCAAATGAATGAAAGGTGAGCTGGATAAGATATCCTGTCGGAACTTCAATATCCCATGAGCATGCAACATTGTTAGGGTACAGAAGAGGATAGTCTAAACTTGCGAGTTCACCATGAAGGCCCCGAAGGTTGATGCGTGTGTTTTCTCTGGAACAAGAGTACCGCGCTGGGACCGTCTTTAAAGCTTCGTACGTTGCGATCAGCCCGCCTTGTTCAGGTGAAGTTGAAAGTTGCGAAAACTTAACGATTACGTTATTTCCTTTTGAGTAAATCATAGTTTTGTTTAAATAATAATCACAATACTTTCCTAAAAACACAGTAGTGGAGCTCGAAACATCAAACACTTCCGCATAGCTCTGGTTGCACAACCCCAAGAATCTCCAAAAAGAGAGCTTTATGAAGTACCCAAGCGGGGCACTGATATTCCAACTGCAGGTTCCAACCCCAGGGTTTTGTGGATAGTCGCGTGTAGAAAAGCTCATCCCCTCTCCACGTATGTACATGGTACTGTTCTCTTTGGGTATGCAAGCTCCTGAGGAAACTAAGAAAAACAGAGTAGTTATTTTAACAGGGTTATGTCACCATCCCCAGGGATTCGTGGATAGCCCAGTGTTAAAAGCTCCTCCACTCTCCGTGTACCTCAGTACATAGTACGGTTCTCTTTGGTTTAGCAAGCTCCTGAGGAAACTAAGAAGAACAGACTGGTTATGATAAAAGGGGTATGTCACGAGTACATTGCTGTTTAAGGTCACATCAGTGCTTAAGTCTTTATTAAATTTCTTTTTCCCATACCGAAAATGCTTCTGTACAGTTAGTTAAGACGACGACATCGAATAAATTTTTATCAGGAAGCACGAACCATAATAATTTGTTGGTGATTTTTGCAGACATAAAGGTTGAAACTTAACAAAATGTCCCAAACATTTTCGCAGAGCAAGCCCTTTGGGGATCATTTTACGTTTCTGGGAAACTGCCCACCTACCCCTCCCCTAAGCCAACATTTTGCCTTAAGTGAGAAGTAAGGGTTAAAGACGACTCAGGGTAGGGGTAGGTGGACAGTTTCATGACGGCTTAGGGGAGGGGTAGGTGGACAGTTTCATGACGGCTTAGGGGAGGGGTAGGTGGACAGTTTCCCAGAAACGTCTAATGACCCAAGTTTAAAAACTTTTCTTACCCCCAGGTATCATGGAGTAATTCGCAGCGAATCCCGTAGCACTACCGTGATGATAATTCCCGTATATGTCAAAACGAATACCAAGCTCGCGTTCTGTTGAGAATACTGTAAATGAAGGTTCTGTGTTCCTTTTGTTGAGTACCCATGGATACCAGTCATACCTGCCATTATTAATTTCAACCTCGTCGCCAGGATGGAGTTGAAAGGTTTCGAACGTCAAGCGCACCACTTTTCCCTTCGGGGCTATTAACCTCCAATAGCAATCGCGGACTGAGTTGTCGGAGTACCCCAACGGAAAGCCCGGAGTCTTTATCACACCAGACAGATTTCTGAGCAAGATGTTTTTGTTTTGATCATAGGAATTCTGGGTTGAGCACACCCTCCCTGTTTAAAGACGAGAAGTACTATCAATAATACTGTCACTTGCAACGTTGCAACGGAGAAACGTCAGTAAGAAATAATCACGCCGCAGAAAATTATTACCCCCATGTAGATTTCCCCTGGGGGTACTCGTTGCGGGTTTTTGGGAAGAAACCGTCCCCTCCAATACCCTCCTTGGCATGAGCGCCCCAAATAACCCCAAATAATATTTAGCGCTTAAACGCTTTGT